CAGCGGGCGGCGGGACGAAGGATTAGAACACGGGTGCAGAACCCAATGACAGGGATGAAACACCGCTTTCCAGGCTTGAAAGCTCGAAATGTTAAAAAGCGAAGCGCATCGACCCGAAAGAGGCCCCCTCCGCCCCCGGAAGACCGTCGAGGGGGGTGGAGGGGCGGGGGAGAGGGGGGGTGGTTTCGGTCCGGGACCGGGTCTTGACCGCGAGCTTTTGATTTTGAATTATGGCTCTGTGAAACTATTACACGGCTAACGCTCCCCGCCCCGCTCGGCCCTCACTTATCGCAATTGGATTAGACGCTGACTTCCGATTTTCCAAAATTAGCCTTAACTTCCGGCTTGAGCGACTTTCGCTCCCGAAACTGACCGAAAATTCCTTGTCGAACACGTAATTAAATCAGGTATGCGCCGAGCATTGATTATAACTTTCTTGGCGTTCACGTGTCTTCCGAAAGGTGCCTTCTGGCTAGACAGGGCTTCCGTGATAAGGATCCAAAATGGAGTGTTACGGCCGGGCGAATGAAGGCAAAACAAAAATTTAAAACTAACAGATCAAGCCTGAAGAGGATATACTGATTGTAAAAAGTATGACCGTTGGACATACTACGACTAAGATTAAACTGAGGAAACAAAATATGTCTACTGTAGAATAGTCTTTATCACAGAAAAGTAATGCTTCATAAGGACTCCTTTGCATTATTGCAAGTATTGAATTTGGTATTGACTAACTGCCTGGAACTCTAGCTCTTAACTTTTGTTTGTACACCTTAAGTTTAATTCGTTCAACTTTGGAAATATATCCCTAATACTAATAAGTGAGAGGAATTTTGAAATGTACACCGATCTAAGTTAGCTTCTTTTCGATGAAGCAACCAAATTAACGCCCCGGCAGGAAGGGGAGGGGGCAAGAAATTCCCCCAGACTCAAAAACATTTTCGTTCAAGCAAAGCACGTTTTTTGAATCTATTTTCTTCATTATAAATATTTTGTATAATTTTTTCGGTGTGCCCCTCGATCGGTAGCGATTTCTTCGTTCAAATTACCCCTTCTCTTTCTTGAAAATATGATTGTTCAAATTCGGTCATTCCACGTCAAGAAATGATTGCTGAATGTATAACTCTCGACGGAGCAGTCAATTCACTTATTTCAGGACGATGAGTCAACGAGAGTGAGTTCTTTGAAATCGAGCGGATTCGGTGAAGTGAGTCAAGCCTGCTTACAGGTCTAAGAAGACCATCGATTGGATCCTGTAATAATGAGGCTAATAAATCAAAATTCTCAGAGAAGAACCGTGTATAGCTGCGGAGAGAAGCAGCATTCTTGAGAGGCGGAACTCTCAGATCAGTAAAATGCCATGGTGAAACTCGGGTAGTGTTGTCAGTTTCTGTTCGAGAAGTTCTCTTGTAAAATCATGCAGAGAACAGGGTCCAGATTTTTTCGGCTTCGGTCGACCGTAAGTTGCGAAACCTAATCTTTAAAGACCAAAAAAGGTGTAAGTCGGGAAAATGTTATTCTAAACAAAAGCTGTACGTAATTTGAGTATTTAGCAGCTTGCGTAGTACTTGAACAGCTTGCGAAGAGGCAGATATAGACCCTCCACTTACCTCTTGGGGGCAGGTGGACAATTTTACCCTCAGGAATTTCGCAAAACTACACTATGGACAATTATAAGATAGCAACAGCCATCCTAGCCACAAAGTGGATGATGAGTCTCGGGTGACTTAGTGAACCAGAAAAATATACCATAATCCGGTTTGTTTGGCTAATGTCTTAATATCAAACCGTTCTCTCAATATATTAAGGTCAGGTGTTGTGATTGGCCAATTCGATGACTTGGACCAATCACAGCATTTCACCTTGATACATTATTAGCACGGTTTGATCGTTTAACAAGAGTTTTGCAGAATGAGATGGTCAACACGTTGTTGAGCGTCCACATAGAAGATAAACAAAATGCCGTGCCAAGGGAGAACGCCTTAGGAGCTTTCAGGCGTTGCCAAATCTCCTCCGGAAAATCTCGAATTTTCCGAAAAAGTTGTAAATGTTATTCTTCCGATGTTTTAGAGAATTTTGCTCGCGATTTAATTTAAAGGATCTGAAAATTTCAATGAAAAATATTCATAACTTTTTTCAGAAATAATTGTTTTCTGAGAGGCAATTTGGCAACATTCAAACACTCATGCGGCGTTTTCCCTTAGCACGACAGAATAGTTGAATGTTAGTGTCCCGTAAGTAAAAGCTCCCACCATTGCCAAGATACCACTGTGGGGTCTCTCTTTGTCTCTTGGCTGGCGGATAAATGAGAAATTCCAAGGTGATGGGTGGGCTACGATGAAGGAGGAGGAAGAAGAAGGAGCTCGGGCTGGGCAATTGGACGTATATCTGCCAAACGGAACTATGTGCATTATGACGTGAGCCCTGTCATGCATATATCCTTAAGGGTATTAGGGCTCATGTCTTTAATGCACATAGTTCCGTTTGGCAGAAATACGTCCAATTGAGGGTTTTTAATTAGGAAATTGCTGTGACTCACGTGTCATGTCGAGCCTGACGTGGGACTGGATCGGAGGCGACAGTTGGTTGTTGATGGCTTGACAAGTGAGGAGCGTGCCCAAGTCGCTCCGCTGGAGCGGGCCGAAGCGGAGCGTGTTCCGGACGGACCGCTCGGCCACCGTCTCGTTCGAGTTGAGCCGCGCGTTCCCCTTCCACCACGTCACGTTCGGCCGCGGGTGACCTGCAAACAATACACATCCAATGTTAAGTATTCTCGAAATTGTCATCAAATTATTTCAAACTCAATGGATCACTACACTGAAAAAAAACTCTCGGCGTTTTTACCAAGGTCCGTTGGTACCTTTACCATCTCACTTTTTGTTTTACCAATGGACCACTAGACAATGTACGAATTTCAGCATTCTGATTCATGTTTCTTAACCAAAATTTTACGTAAAACACGATGCGCACAACGGAAATTACCGAAATCAATACCTTATGAAGATATTTAATGATTCTTAGTGCGTGAATTCAAACCATCCGCTCATAAAAACTCAATGCTCTACGTGATTCACATCTCGCGCTAAACGTTCATCATGACAGTCTCTGCGATATAAAAATCTGGCAACCTCGATCTTGACGCTTTGGCTCAGCTATAGCAAATTGCTTATAGTTTGAACAACACATGGTGGAAAATGAACATTGCTCGATTGAGAAGCTTGCTGAAACCGCTGTAGTGCGCGATTTGACTTACGTAGAGCTTTGAGTTTCTTGTGAGCGGGCAGTTCAAATTCCTCGTAACCAATGTGTAATAAAAACGTTAATATCTTTGTTGAGAGTCTGATTTAGTCATTTTCGTTGTGTGAGCCGTGTTTAATGTGAAATTTTGATTAAGAAACATGTATCAGATTGCTTAAATTCGTACCTTGTCTAGTGGTCCATTATTGGTAATTTCACCGAGACAGACTGGTAAGCTTACCTAAAAACCGGCATTTTTACTGGTTTTTTTTTCAGGTAAGAATACCTACCACTTTTATTGGTAATCAATTCCTGGTAACTTTGCCGTTTTATCTCGGTAATTCCACCACAGTCGATAAAAAATATTGGCGTTTTTACCAATGTTCAGTAAAATTACCGAGAAAGTTCAATAATTTTACCGAGATTCTTGGTAAAATTACCAATTCCATTAATGGTAATTTTACCAAGAAAAAACTGGGATCAAATAGAACCCTGAATTCTTGGTAATTTTACCCTTTTCTTAGTAAATACACCGAGATTTTTTTTTTTTAGTGTAGGCAATTAAGGTGCGAAGTTTAGTATTCTGCAGGGTGTCTACTAAAACAGGCTGATGAAAAAAACGTACTTTTACAGTACTTTTTTAGTACCTTATTGTCAAGAAATTCAGTACCTCCTCTGACACGAAAATTCCGTAATTTTTCAGTACCTCCATTTGACGAAATTCGAAAAATTTCAAAAATTTGAAATTGCGACAAAAATGACAAAAAATTTAAAAAAATTCCGGCCCTTCTTGCGGAATTTCCGCACTTTTTCAGTCCTTCCGGACCGCCGTTAAAAAATCAGTACTATTTTCGGACTTTCCGGGAATTCCGGAATTGTAGACACCCTGATTCTGATACATGTTTCCTGACTAAAATTTCACATAAAACACGATCTGCGCAACGAAAATTACTGACATTAACTCCTAACTAAGATATTAAATGTTTCTTGACGTGAATTCAAAACCTCCCGCTCATGAAAACACAATAGTCTATACGTGAGTCTAATCGCACACTAAGCTTTACTATGACAATCTGTACGCGATATGAAACTCTGGCAATCTCAATCTCGACGCTTTGGCTCAGCTGTAGCAAATTGTTTACACTTTGAACGATAAAGGTTGGGAAAGGAAAATTGATCCATTGAAAAGACTGCTAAAACTGTTGCGAGGCGCAATTTGACTCGCGTAGAGAATTGCGTTTCTTGTTACCGGGCAATTCAACTTTCCCATAGTCAATGTAAAATAAAAACGTTAATATCTTAGTCAGGAGTTGATTTCAGAGATATTCGATGCAAGAATCGTGCTCTACGTGAAATCCTGTTTTAGAAACATGAATCAGAATGCTTAAATTCGTACCTTGTTAAGTGGTCCTTCCTTTAGTTGTATAGACTGGATTGGCCACTAAATAAGATCTGAAGTAGAAGAAAACGTCACATGCTTTCTCTCCAAAATCTTTACATAGAAAACAATTCACACAACGGGAACTACTATGAATACGACCCTTGTACTCAGCGCACAGTAGCGCGATGCAACTATTCGACCACCGGAGCGTGGCACAGTATCACCCGAAATTGAAGGCGAACTTGACACCTGCACCAACTCACTTTGCCATTCCTGCAACGGCTAGGGCCGGTAGATTTAAAACTTTGTCCAAATCGTAGACTTTTTTATTTGTTGCCGTGGCAAAGCTTTGCTATCCTCTCCATTAGTCTACCACCGAGGTTATTCAGTTGAATGTCACGCTTGATTCATTATAGAAATGTCCTTTTTATGATGCTATATTTTAAGGATTTCCCGAAACCTTCATCAATTACAATGTAAATGATCGGCTATGAATACGGCCCACAGATTATAATGTGATAAAGGGAGGTTTAAGGCCACCTATAACGTTAAAATCAGTGGCATTATTATCGAGAAAGACGTCTGTGTGGCGCGTTTAATGAAAAAGCGGGTCAAATTTTCAGAAATCGCGGGACAGCCTGATGAAAAAACGAGACTGAACGTAAACATAGCACGAGTAAACAGATGCTCTGAATTCTCGCTAATAAATCTCCGACTTTATTTTATTTTATTTACAGACTCAAAATTAAAAGAATAGAGGCAGATGCACAGACCGGGAGGGAACAACAAGGCGTAAACAGATTGAACGTAGCGTTTTACGGGCGCAGAGCTTAAATTAAATCTTTCCTCAACGCGCCCCGTTCGTTGTTTCAACGTTTGAAAAGTTCAACCGTTCGTTCAGTGACTGCTCGGGGCGCCCGTGCGGGGGAAAAGCGCTCTGGTCACGGTGGATAAACAGGGGTAGTTTGATGTTTTTCCGCCACATTCGTGAATTGGTAATTTAGCAATTGGACAGTTGGATTCTCAAAAGACGCTTCCCGCTGTTGATCTTGATAGCAAGATCAGTAGCGATTTTGCAATTTGGCGACACGGCATTTTCCTCCATTTAAATCCATTGAAAATATCGATTTTGCAATTTGGCGACACGGCATTTCCTCCATTTAAATCCATTGAAAATATCGATTTAGGTGTTCCTCACCAAGAATCGATTGTTTTACGTACGTTCAAATGGAGGAAAAACCGTGTTGGCAACTTTCAAGAATCGCCACTGAGTAAAATACAGAGCCAAAGTTAAGCCGCCAGACTGCAGAAGCGTCTTTTATGGGTCAAATTAAGACCTTTTGTTTGAAATTTTTTCCAAAAGTGCTTTTCAAAAAACACGACGCTGAAAAAACTGGAGCTTCTTTTTCTTGTTTTGATCTTTTTTATCGGTTTTCTTTTTCTTTTCTTGATCTTTTTTTATCAGTTTTCTTTTTCCGATATTTTTTATTTTTATTTTTTGGTCTTTTTTTATTTGTCTTAGTTTTATTTTTTCTTTCATTCCTTTCTCTTTCTTTTATTCCTTTCTTTCCTTGATTATTTTCTTCTCTTTTTTGAGAGTAGTTATAATTTTACTTTGAAATTGAGAAAATGCACGAATTTCGAAAAAGAACGAATAAAAAGAGGACACGACAAGGAGGGAAACCGCAATAAATATATGTAACAAACTTTCCCTGGTTGTCTGTGAAAGCTTGTTTAAAATTCATCTCGGGATTTCGAGTGTCAAAGTGCTAGATGTATGTTGCCTGCAATCAAGATGTGTTTCAGATGTTTCGTTCCGAGGTGTGAGCGGGCGGGACTCAGAGGCTGAGCCGTGTTCTCTGCCCTCGTTCCTGTTTTGAAACTCAAACAAAAGGGCGCTTATAAAATTAAAATTTGTTACACAGACTACTTAGGTGAATCCTTGCCCGCAAATGCCCCGAATTTGCGTTGCGGTCTCACCTCTCTCGCCACATTTCAAAAGTCACATTTGCATTTTAATCGAATTTCAAGTTCGTGTTGTTGTTTTAAGGCAAAATAAGATTCGGAGAGAAAGAGCAAAATCATAGCGACGATTTATCCAACGCTGTGTGCGTCGTTGTGCTTTGTGTGAATGAGAATGCTATTGTTGCGTTTCTGGAAAAATCTTCATGGACTTTAAAATTCTGGCGCAGAGAGAGTGCTTTTTTGTGATTTAATCGACATGGAACACCATTATATTATGCACAAAATTACTTCGTTCCTAGCATACCGTAACTTACGAAAATCTTTGTCTAACCTTCATTTTTATATAAGGCAGGCAAAGGTAGCCTCATAGGAGCAACAGTGATGATATTCACCGAAAGCAAATATTTTAATGATTTGTAGGAAATATTTTTAATGATCTACTCTTACCGACAAAAAATGAGGAAAGGATAAAGAAAAAAATTGAAGTGTAAACTGCACTATCATAACAGGAATGAATGACAAACTAAATGGTGATTCAAGTCGAGGAATGTTATTGAACCAGCTAAACTTGAATTAATTCAATTTAGTAGCTGCAACCGCAAGGTATCACATTTTCTTCTTCTGCATATTTGGCACGTTAGCATTACTAATGCTAATAAATATTTTCCCATCATTTCTTTATATATTATTACATGATAATCACATTTTAGATTAGAACAGTTTTTCTTCCCCCACATAAACTCAATTTATTGGATAGAAATAAATTGAAAATCCTGAGATCGGATTAATGTTCACAACAAATCTCTTATTATTGCATCCGATGAATTAAACTGCGAGCGGACTTCATAATTTCTAAGCCCTCTCTAATTCCACTCCCTTTTAATGATTTCTCGGAAAAGTATACACATGTCTTGATTGGATGGTATTACACAGAACTGTCGGATATCGATTTTGAAAATAGTCATTTCCATTCGACGAAAAACCTCGTGAGCTATTCGCCGTGCGATGATGACATTATCTCTTCCATAAAACCCTTCCATTAAACTTCGATAGATTTTCCGCTGCCATTTTATGTTTTTACAGAGAAATTGTAGGTTGAATCTATTTGAAGAAGTCCATCTCTGTTAGGTTAGGTTGAGACAGAGATGGACTTCTGGCGTAGATCCGCTGGTATTTCCAGAAAGGATCGCGTCAGAAATGAGACGGTACGGGAGATCATGGATGCCAAGCAGACCATCGTGCATGACATTATGACAAAACAACTCATTTGGTATGGTCATGTCCAGAGAATGGCAGGAGACAGGTTGCCGAAAAAGGTCCTTGACTGGGTTCCTCCTGGGAGAAGACGCAGAGGGCGCCCAATGAAAGGTTGGAGGGAAGGGATTGAAGCGGAAATGTTAAGGTGCTCAATCCCCCAAGATTTGTGGTTTGAAAGAGAGCAGTGGAGGTTAGGGGTCGTAGAGCGCGAGGGAGTGCTGTAAAGCGACCTATATGTATGTATCTATTTGAAAATTTCACTGAATTTTATCGGCAGTACAAAAAATTTAGTAAAATTTTAGTGAAAATTAAGTGCAATTTTCGGATAGTTTCGTTGACAAATTTCTCTGTAAAAAAATAAAATGGCGGCGAAGATTTTTAAACGTCGTATGCCGCTTAAGATACTCTCCCCGGAAGATGACGATATCAATGAAATTTGGCACGCCCGGCTTTATACGACATTTATCCTTCGTATTGATGTATTTACCTCGCGAAGATTAACGAGTTTTTCCGGAGCATCGAGCTCGAGAGATTAGCCTAACCTCGCATGTAATAACCATTAAAAATAACAAGGAAACAGCTGTAGAAGCCCTCCGTAAATGAAAATAACCGTTGTCCGGTAGCCGGCGATTTTTTGGCGAACACATTTTTGATCCGAGGATTTAGCTAATCGGATTAACCAATCGCAAGGGGACAACGCGACGCCCCGCCCCGCTCCTCCCACTCGCCGGAGCACTCAGCGCCTGATGACGCGAAACACAAAACGGTTTAAACGTGCCGAGCGAATCAATTACCCACCATACTCACGATCCATCAGAAACCGCGACATCCCCATTCTTGCAATATTTTCCGCAAAAACACCACTCCTTGTAAATGGATACGAATTCACACGTTTCTCGTTTCAATTCGGCAACCTCACGAAGTTCAGCAGTATTAACTCCTTCATTTAAAGATTAAGCAGCCTTGGAGCTTTTAATCTTTCCGGCGTTTGTCTTTTTCGATCAACCTGTACGTTAAAATACACAATTTAAAAAGAAAAAAAAAAACCCAAGAGTCATTTGCGCTAATCACGTAGTTGGATAGTTTACCCGTAAGTTTATTGATTAACAAATAATAATAAGATCTGTCCACACATAAATTGTCTACGCCCAATGTGGAAGGAGATATCGCTAATTGAAAAACAAGGTGCATGACGTGAAGAGCAGGTTTCTTCCACAGGTTGTCATCAGAAATTCATTTTGGATTTTTCTGATATTCATCTGATTTTTTCCAATATACTTTAGACAAAATCTCCTGAGTTTTTGCACAAATAAAGTGACATTCCTTTGATCTCACGAAACGACATATTTGATGAACTCACTCAAATGTTTCACATGTGTAGGTATGTGCTAAACTTCATGTGGTTGAAACCCCCTTGACGTACTCAAAATTTCCTGATCCACGACCGATTTATTCTTAATATTTTCCTGATGACATCGAATTCCCTCATATTTTCCGGTTTTTACTGACGGTAGACACCCCGTTCCATCTTATTTTGATCAATTAAAGATACACAAATTTGCGCTGGTTGCTGAAGGTAAACTGAGATGGAAGAAACTATGGTATGGACCATAAAAGTAGACGGTGTCATACGCCATGTTTTTGAAGGGTAATATCTGCTCTAATATTGGACGTGGAATTGCCAAATTTAACTGGGCAATTTCATTTTTCAAAAAAGAACGTTTGTGCGGATTTCTTCGAAAATTTCTGGGAATTTGCCGCGTACTACACAGAAACTTCACTGAATTTGCACAAAAATCCGCACAACCGTTTTTATGTCAAAAAAATTAAACTGCCCAGTTTTTGACACTAGCTGATGTGGCTTGGTCCCTTTCTGCTTAACGCGGTCAATGTCAGCAACTTCATCTTCAACTTCAAATTTTTTTTCTGACATTTCAACTTATCATGCACGGAGAAAAAAACTTATTCGTGCGTGGGACCCGAAGTTTAGGTCATATGGATCTCTGAAGTTTTCGGATTTAGCATCTAAACACTTTAGGTCCAGCTGCTGAGGTTTGGATCACACATCTGAAACTGCAGTTCTTACATCTGAAGTACTTCGGTTTTCACATCCGAAAAACTTCGGTTCTCACATCCGAAAAACTTCGGTTCTCACATCTTAAGTACTTCAGATGTAAGAACTGAAGTTTCAGATGTGGTCCGAACCTCGACAGCTAGACCTAAAGTGTTTAGATGCTCAATCCGAAAACTTCAGAGATCCATACGACCTAAACTTCGGGTCCCACGCACAAGGTTTCTTTCTCCCTGTGTATCATAATTTTTCATGAGAAACTCGGAAAGTGAACAAGTATCGAAACATTTTGCAACACATGTGATATCTTTCACTCAGAGACGCCTCGTTGTCAAAGTGCGGTTGGAACCATAAGCACTCCAAATCTGGCAACACCGTGACCAGGCGTGCTGGGAGGCTTTGCCACTCCCGCCTCTGTGGCGCCCCTAGGATTCATGCCTCCCTGAACTTATCCGTCTAAAGCTCAGAACTTTGGGCCCTGCCGCAGATCCTCGATGATGCGTCGCATTACCCAAATAGGTAGCATCCGGCCTGGCCGCGCCGCTTCAACCCCCACTCTCCAGGGTTGCCAGATGGTGCGGTAATGTATTGAAGTTCAAGACCGACATCAATTCAACGCTAGAATTCCTCGGCGATTTTGTCTCTCTCGTCTTCGCCGCGGCACCGCCCCGCTCTTCTGATTAACCCCTTTCTCGCATAACACAGCATTCAGGGCTGTGTTCATCGTCCAATTTCATCAATATTCTTGGCGTGCTATCTGCGGTGGGTGTGGATTCAGCGGTTAGGACATGCTCCTCCACATGTAAAATCCCACACTACTGTTCTAATTATTCTGGAGATAGAAGAGACGCCTGAATCATCCATTCTGAGTCAAACTTGATGTATTTTTGTCCTTGAAAAATATATTTTAAGTATCTTTAAAATAATCATTATTTATTACATAATTTCTTTGTTTCGATGTGTGAAATGCTTTTTCTAGTCAAACTTAAAATGTGAAAAAAATCAATTTGTCATTTACCATGTCAACCTCTCCTTTTCAAATTTTGCATTTACTCTACTATTTTTCTTAATAATAAAGGAGTACGAAAAGGCCCAGGGGTCTCGGATCAGTGAAAAAAACATCATGACTAAAGGACACACAGGACACAGGACCCGAGACATCATGACTGAAGTACACGTAAAATAATTGTCCTTTGGATAATATCGACCATTAGCATAGTTCATGCTTCATTTTCGGAAACTCTGTTCCAACGAAAGGCTATAGATAATCGACTTTAATCCTTCCTCCCGTAGAGAAGGCAAATAAAGAACATGCACACTCCAAATTTCATGTCTCAGACTTTGTAAGGTTCCCTCAAAATCATAGATTTTGGGTGAGCTTCTGTGTAAATGTTGCTGACTAACAATGACGTAGTAAGAAATCCATCAAGGGTTCAAAGTATCAAAAATTGCACATAGTGGGGTACACGAGGTTTTACATGTAATAAAATCCTGAAAGTTACTTTTTTGAGGGAATTTTTATGGTGATGGGGAAATCTGTTGATAAGCTTTTGACATCCGAAGATGATTTATCTTGTCAAAATAATGTTTAAAAATTTTAAGACACAGAATATACTTACTTCGTAGTAATAAGACAGGAGACAGTAAAAATCAACGGATTTGTCTATTTTTTCTTACTTTCTCCCAAAAAATATATATTTTTTTTACTTTCTCTCAAAAAATCTATTCCCCACATCCATATTTTTGCCCTTGTTTAAACCGTTCGATAATGTTAAACCTAACGGAGAAAAATTAAATAGAGAGCTAGGTCAAAAACATGAACAGCAAAACATGGTAGAAACACTAGATTAAAAAGAGGGAGGAGAGGAGGCAAGCCGGCGGTTGGTTTGTTCTCGAGATCGGTCAGACGATCACTTACCCGCGATGAAAACAAATAAATAAAGATTATTCGGGAGAGGAGAGAGAAGAAACTTACCCCCTGTGGCGTTACAAGCTATCTCGACCATGGCGCCCTCGCGGAACGGGCCGATGACATAATCCTTTATGTGCTCTCCGTTGACATCGACAACCCTCAACTGCTCCGGAGGCTCTGAAACACAAAGTGCAAAGTTCACTAATTTGAAAGCTCGAGGAAAAAACCTGCCTTGTAATTACAGGCGCCGCGGCCAGGGCTTCATCGTGATAACTTTGAAAAGGGATACGGGACCCTCCTTGACTTTGACCAAAATCTAGATCTAGAAAATGTCCGCTTACGGATCCTCTGCCTTTAAGCTCCATCTGCGGTCTATATTTGGTCGTTTCCTTCACGAAAAAAACGCAACTACATTTCAACGTTGCCAAATTTCCTCTCGCAAGTTTTACAAGGTTTTTAAAATTTCCAATTTCGACAGTGTAAGTCCGCAACCACGTTTCTCGTTCTCGGTTTTTGGAAATCCCTGCTCTTATTTTATGTTTTTAAAATATAAGAAAACAACATCATTCCTTGAAGTTTTTGCAGAAATTTCTTTGTTTAGGGAAGAAAAATTACGGCAGTTTGTAGGAATTGCTATTGAATAATTTTCCATTTAATAAATAAGCAATGACAGGAAGTCTGCCATGTCGCAATCCGAGATACGTGGTTGAGGTTGAGGCCTTACTCCTTCTATTTACATAAAAATGCAGATTCCTGTAGAAAGGATTTTTGTTTATGTCGGAGCTTTAGAAATATTTCATGAGAACTTTTAAAGGAAAAAATTATTTTCAAATGCAACAATTTTATCGCTTATACATGCATGTACAACAACTCTCATACAACTTGACGTAAAGAAAAAAAAGGAAATGTTGGTGTTATAACTTATTAAAACGTGTGTTCATGTAAACACTTGCAAGGTTTTAAGTCCAAAAAGTGGGTTAAATTCGTTTTAAAATTCAAAGAGGGGGTCGTGTATTGCTGCGGGGGTTTAAAGAGCCCAAATGAAGACATGTCTGAAGTTTGACTTTAGAAAAACACTTTTACCTGGTTTTACACTCGGTAATTAGCAAAATATTAAGATAAGAATAACGCAATCGCCCAATTCAACAATAAAATACAAGAAAAATGCACTAAAAATGGGTGACAAGTGTAAGATGTTTTGCTCAAATGACTCACTATGACCTTGAAATTAGCAAATGTATTACTTTCTTTCTGCTAAAATCACAACGTCAGATTTCGAATACAACAAAATCCAAAAGCGAAAACGTTGTGAGTGAAAGACACTGGAGGATTGAGGGTCCAACTACCAAGGGATGGCTTAATTTGAGGGGATAAATACCACCATTTCCCGGGTAATTTCCGATGAATAATGTTCATTATGCTTGACAATTGCCCGTCCCAAACGACATGGCTTAAATTCTTGAAGAGACGGCCGGCTCCCGTCATTAACGGCGTCGGCTCACAGTGGGAACCATAGTATGAATTTTGGCGATAAAAATAAACGAATCAAGACAAATTTTGTTTAAATCGTATTTTGATGGGCTCGTTTTTAACTATCAAACATTAAGACTCGAAAACAAGAGTTCATAAATAAACCAGTGTTTGTGAATTGTGTTTTGCTCACAAGTTCTCTATTGAAGGCCATTAATAAAATACGTAACACTCAAGAGACGGAGGGAGTCTGAATTTACGTTATGAGTGCGTTACGGAGAGGAAGTAGGCATTCAGGGCTGCGTTACGTTACTCTAAAATGGGTGCGTAACGCCGATTTTTTAAGACCTAAGAAATAATGCAGGGTGGCAATTTTTAATCCGAAATTCATTACAAAACATTAGTTTGAGAGGAAGAGGAGGGGCAAACAAAGCGTGACGCCCTTTTTATTAGTGGTTGCAGACTTATATTATGGACGTACAGCATTACGTATTTTATAAACGGACCATCAGTGACAATAATCTTCAGATATACTTTTAAACGTGAGACATTGGGCATTACTTTAAACAAGAGTCACGTAAGCACACCGCACAGCCAAACTTTCTTGTAAGAGGGGGGCGGAGGAGGAATCTCATTTTCACCAATTAAGCTGGACTGACTAAAATTTTCAAGGCAGAACGTATTAAAAATGGACGAAATTCGACAGTAACAGAATAGCGCTATTTTTCAACTTTAACGTATTTTATAAACGGCTCATCAGTGACAATACTCATCGGATATATTTTTAAACGTGAGAAATTGAACATTACTTTAAACTAGAGTCACGTAAGAACACCACATAGCCAAACTTTCTTGTAGGGGAGGGGGGGGGAAAGAGGTCTTATTTTCATCAATTAAACTGGACAGACTATAATTTTCGGGGCAGCCTGTATTAAAAATTGACAAAATTTGACAATAGCGCTTTTTTTCAACTTTGGCAGAGGGTAGAGATCTGCTCTTCGGCGAAACAAAATGTTAGGTAAAACGGTCGTAAACTGAGACTAATAACGTGTGTCCTCCATATTAACCTAGATTAAATCAACGATGACGTCATCTCAGAGGTCAAAGTGTCAAAGTTTCGTCCAAAAAACGTCGGTTACCGTCCAAAGTGCGGCGAGACCCTGCCACGAGTCACTAACCACGACGCCTCCTTCAGGGAGGAAAAAAAATATATATGCTCGCACCGGCCGCGGATGATTTTGAGTTGGGATTTTTGACAGTTCTGATGAATGACTAATGAGCTTATCGATCCTGGAAGTGGCGGTGGGGGCAGGAAAAGGGGGAAAGGGGGTCGGCGGAGCCCAGATCAAATATGCCACTCGATTACCGGTTGATTAATGATTCATTCGCACCGAAAGTTAAGCTCGGTGAAATTTCGAAGCCGATTTTCGCCTACGCACCGTTCACAAATCCCCCGGGTGAAAAAAAGGGAGTCTGGGGAGAGAGGGGAGGTTTGCCCCGGAACCGAGTGGCCGTTTCATGCGGCGGATTCAGCGTTGTGGGATAAGCAGACCGGGAGGTCGATCGGGGGTATTTATGGGGAGCAGGATGTGGTGCAACAGGACTCAGGGGGCCCATCATTAAATACGTAACGCTAAAAATCGGATTTTTTGACCCCCTGCGCACCCGTAACACAGGTCTGCGGCTCTTGAAGGAGAAGACTTAACACCCAACTTCTCATTTCCCTTAATTTGTTTAGGTGCTGCTTGGATAAATACGAAATTTAATCAATTTTATCAGTTTTATTCACTTAAGACTGAAAAACTAGATTAGGTGATTTCAACTGGATTGCATTTTGCGAAAAGGATCCACGAGCATTTCAATGTCGCTAAGATTGTGAAAGTTTTTTTACCTTGCAAATATAAACTGACCATCATAAATGTTTTTATTTTTAGTCCCAATAAAATATGAATTCAAAGACGAAAATCACCTTTGTAAATTTGTTTTTGTGCATGATTTCGGAAATTTTCTTGCAAAGATAGTAAGTTGCACATTCTTAGCAACATTGGAATGCTTACGGTTCATTTTTAGAAAATGCAATCCAACTAATTGTCAGTTAACCCAAATTTGTGTTGAATGCAAACTAATTCCTATCAAAAAGTTATTGGAGTTATACTTCAACTTGGTGGAGCAGCACAAAATAGTGTCTGTACAACACCAGTTTGGGTTAGCTGAGTCGAAATAATGTCATCCTTTTTTTTCACTTGCCTGATACGGCAATGACTAAACAAACAATACTTATGCCCTAGTCAAAGGAAGAGGATCTAAAAAAACCGGACAGGAAATTTGGCAACGTGGTATACAAGTAGGCAGATTCTAATTCTATCTGTCATTTAAAGCGGACCAAAAAAAGTAATCCGCCAAGTCGCATCAAGTTTCAAGTTTTGTTCCTCCATAAGCTAAAATGTAGAATGCAATGTTTAACGACCGAAATAGATGAATTGAAAATCTATTTCTAGACTTCGAAATTTTAACGGGAGACCATGGACATTCAGTAAAATTCAAAACTACTTCAAACGATTTTTTTTACTCAAAATGAGGCTTATTACGTTTTTTAAACTCGGCTCAAATCATAGAAAGATCCCATCGCTTAGTTTACGCCATAGAAAAATCCTACCGAGCTCTCTATGTCATTCTCCTTGAAAAACTTTAATAATAACCCCTTGAAAATAGCTGTATATTAGTATGGAAAGATTCCGTTGGTAACTTGGCGCGCGGTTTCTGCGCCGGGCACACCGCAATCAATGAGTAATTTAAGTTGGAAAGTATTCAATTTTGTCACAATTAATGCTGATAATAAATCAGGCGAAAGGAATTAAACGGGATTAAAAGTGAACACCGGAATTTAAAGAGCGAATCATTGAAGGTAAATTAAGTTGGCCGACCCGTCGCCGCGCCATTGACTCCGCCTGGGAGCGCGCTCCAAGTAAGGATTTATCTCGGGGCTGATAAAGATAACGAGGTGGTAAAAAACGTTCCAAGTTTCGACAAGGTCTCAAAATTTCCAACACAGCTCTCAACCGATCCTGCCCCATAAATTCTCGCCCCTCGAACAAGTTTTTATCTTCTCTCGTCGTGGCCTGCCATAAATTTAAACTTATGCTCGAGCCTAGTGTCAGCGCACACGTAGTATCGCCTCCGAGACGAAGTCGCGATTATAATCGAATTCTAACCACTCAACCATCCGATGCTCTATCTAGAGCAATTTTTGAAAAAAAAAAACCAATTATCAAAAGGTGCCCTGTGCTTTTATGCGAAAAAGTAAAAGTGTAATCTATCATGCAGTGTGCAGACATCGTCACCTTCCGGCCAAAGCATCATAAGCGCCAAAAAAAGCGCGACATTTCAAAACTTCTGCCGCCATTTTATTTTCTTACGGAGAAATTGTTCAACGAAGCTGTTGGAAGATTTCACCAAATTGTTTTTCTACTGCCGATTACGTTCAGTAAAATTTTTAAACAGATTCAAGCAACGATTACTCTGTAAAAAAATAAAATGGCGGCGGGAATTTCGAAACATCGCATTACGCTTGTGATATTTCGGCCGAGAGGTGACGATATGACCGTTGAGACGGTTTAGTAACGATATACATACTTCAGCTGCCGTAATTGAAAGAGAATACAGCACTAAAAGACTCGGGAAGGTATCCATAATGTAAGCATTCTGAG